ATAAAAATTAAAAAATATATTGAAAGAAAAAAATAAAACCATTTTGTTATTAATAAAGATTGAACAATAGATCGGTTTTGTTTTGTACACCACAACATTATCATACATCAACGTTTCTTTTGGGGCCTGTATAACCGAAATTAAAAATAGAAAAATAAGACTAAAAATATAGATTAAACTAAGAGTATAGCTTTCATATTGAAAAACAGCAAACAAATGAATAATGATATTCGCATAGAAAATATAATTGACAATTTTTCAAACAAAAGGCAAGAAAAATGAATTTTTGAAAGTGCGAGTACCTACAGTATTTATTTTTGAGTTTCTAATTGACTGTTAATGTATGGTATGCATTGGCGCAAATAGTGGGAGGGCTTGGGGATACTTAGTCCATCGAAATTTCGGTCAAGTCTCCCCAGTTCAAAATCTAGTAATTAGTACTAATTTTTATATTCTGTGGTACTAAGAAATATGGCCTATGGGGAAGGGGCTTGAGTCCCCCCAAAAAATTTGAGGCTATGGTGGTATGTTCAATTTATTTGTTATTTGATAATTATTTATATTAAATATTTTAAAATGAATAAAAAAGCTACAAATTATTACATTTATTTATTTGTAAATACATAGGTGCTAATAGGTACCTACGTGTTTTAATTATGTTAAGCTTATTTTGTATGAGTAAAAACTCAAAATTCCAAAGTATGTTTTCAAATTTGGAAAAATAAATTTTACAACAATCAATAGGTAAATTTTTCATTCATTTTATTTACACACGGGCCCAAATTGGTGTAGTTGCGGCACTGCAAGTACGGTCATGATGATGCCATCCATCGCGGTTACAGGTGGTTATGAATTACTATAGTAAATCAAACAATTTTTTCACCGATATTAGATTAAAATTTGGTTTGAATTATACGCGCATGATAATATTATATTATTATACTACGGCAGTTGCAGGAGAGGACGTCATCGTGACATCTGTTATCTGGGTCAAATTCTGTACACCTCAATATACAAACTATACATAATATTACTTATGTAAGTACAAAGCAAAACCTATCTCCACGGCATTTGTAAACTGAACGAGTGAGTATTTTTCTTTGAAACTGGCCCAATTGATATAAGCAATAAAATTAAAAGAGATTTGTTACACATGAATGTATATTATTTTGTGAATTATTATCGATTAAACACAGAGCACTTGAGACTTGGCCGAAATGTAATAAAATCACAACATTATATACTATGATAGGCGCACTTTTTTGAGAGGAGGTCTGCAGGGTACTTGGCCCTTTTTTCACTGTTAGGTTTTCGTTGGTTAAATACTATACAAAATGTACCGAGAAGTTGTTAAAATGTTTATAGTGTAGTATATAGTGCATTAGTGCCCAAATTACTATCAATATTAAAATGTTAAAGAAACTATTATTTGCATCTAATCTTTATCGCGTTCGGTTAAAGTTTATAACTATTAAAAAATAATAAAAACAAAAATTTAAAAACCTATGCTAGGTAGATCAACTCGTCTTGTTACGTTCATAAGTACATAATATACTATAACAGGTCCTGCTTTCGAAGAGTGATAACTGATAAAATATATAAAGCTATATAACTAAAGCTACAACTCATTAGTGTATAAATTATTATAATGATATGAATAATAATAATAACAATACGGCAGAGACAACGATTATTAATTTTACGAGGTATCGTCGCTTTTGAGAATTTCTTTATTCGCTTATTATAAACAAAAAAGTGTTACCAATTATTATAGCCTTTAGCCCCAACCTTATATAGGCAAAGATAGAGCGCTGATCGAAGTCGTATATTAATAGTCCACTACGACTACTATATTACAACCGCCTATGGTGTTAACAATATATTATATATAAAATACCTATATGTAGCTGCGTCAAGTTTATGGTCGTTAAAGAATGTGAGTATATTAAAATAAACATTAAATTAACACGTCGGAGTGTTGAAATCGGTTTGTGGGGGGGGGGGGAGAAGAGGGGAAATCATTATAAAATTCACTTTTTATACGCGTGACCGTATAATAGAGAAAAGAAAAATTGTAATTTTACGTCTAGACGAATAGTGAATTATACATATGTTATATTATATTATGAGGTATATCGAGTGTTATTAACTGTAAAACTATAATATTATATGGGTAGAGGTACACGCGTAAACCTATTAATTGTTTTACACGAAAACAATTAAAACTCGATTAAATTATAATGACCGTTTTTTTAATGCCCATCGATTAAACACAATACTTCAACACCTTCGCATCGATAAATTATAATATTTTATATAATACAGCTATTATATATAGTAGGTATATATGGTGCGGTGAATAATAACGTTTCCGAATCGTAGACGAGATTTAAATTTTTACTTTCGAACTATATGCCAACGTGTATAAAAATATTGTTCTATTCGAATGTTTATCCCCATATCATTAATTTATGATAGCGATGTGTGATAAGCCCTGATTTTTGAGGGGACGAACTGGAACCTACGTCGGCACCATTCAAATTTACATCGTCCACCGAACCGAACATTAAAAAAATTCTTTTAAAAAAATGTACTACCTTGGGAAGGTGACGCGACGACAACATAAATTAATACGAATCACTTTTAATAATGTTGTACTCGACCTAGGTACAACGACATTTTCGTTTTATTTAATTTTTACCGTTCTTCACTAAATTTGGTAGTTGGATTTTTGAACCCAACTATACATTATTCATTTAGGTACTTACATACTTTGAAATCTTACAGCTCGCGACATTGCCTGCAATAATATTACCATACAGATTTATCTACTTCATAATTTTGTTTTTTAATTTAGCGCACACCGTTTGCACGAACAACTTTTTTATTAGATTTTTTCCGTTTAAATAATATTATATACTTAGTAAAAAACCTAAAGTATTGGGTACATAAGACAGAGCTGTGTACCCATCGAGTGTTGACATTATTACGCAATCGTTGAAAAGGAGGAATAATAACAACACGATTGTAACAATGTTTTTTTTCCTCGTCACGCGTAGGTACATGCGCAAGTCTTGGCAATGTACACCGAGTGTGTAATAATATTTAAAGATCGAGGTAGTAATTATATTATTATTGTACACACGGTTTGCGTATAGAGTGGTTTGCAAGAAAAAAAAAAATAAATGATGGAATCTTCGTAGTCAGATATTTACCTATGTGTGTATATAAAGATAATACGACGGTAATAAAAATGTATGGAGACGTTTCTTCATATTACAAAAAAAAACTCCGTCCACAACTGATGTTATTAAACTATTATTTTATACCATTATTTAGAAATAGTCTTATACGCATAACTCGATCGTGCCTACACATGTAATGAATAGAGCTTTAGATATAATATAATATTATGTTATTCGGATGAAATTGGCATTTTTTTTTTTGTTCGATTTCGACACACCATAAAAACTTTACAGGTTGAAACATGACTTTTGCGCATCGCATCGCTCGTAATCGTTCATCGTGTATCTGTTATACTACTTTATTTTATGGAATATTATGATGCCGATAACTCTCGATCGTCCTAAAACGAGGCTGTCATATGTATATGCGTGTCTTACATAATAGCGAAAGAGAGATTAACCGCGAGTTCTAATTTTGGGTTTGATGGTTATCCAAGTAATATAATAATCATACAATGTCGAAAAAGTATTCAAATCTGAGCAAAAAAAAATAAAAATACGAACGAGCCATGATGGCTCGACGGTCGAGAGTATAGGTACAGAAAAAACACAACACATATTGCACTGCAAGCTGTAAGAACACATTTTAGATATGTCTTGTAATATTGAGGTATCCATATAATTTTTTTGTGATGGGAAAACCGTGTTTTCTGTCAGAGCATATTTAAAATCATTAGAGATTGTCCTAAAACAAAAATATTCGCTGTGTTTAATCTGTTTTATTATTTTCATCGTATTGATCTAGGCACCTATATTATAATATATCGTATAACACGGACAGGTATAGACACGTCACAACACTTAAAAAATGTCATTCTAGTCAAAAGTTGAAACAAACGTGAAAAAAAAGAGTACAATGATGGCTGGTATACCTACAGGTTTAGTAATAGCGGCGGCGGGTATATTATACTATATAGCTGTGAAAATATTTCAAAACACAAACAAATTGTACCCAACTATATAGATTTAGGTACGGTAATCACTCGTCTATAGTTTTTAACATTATATATACAATTATATAGATACACCTATGTATAATAGCGGTATTATACTCGTACATATGGCGTATAATAATAATTCGAACATTGTATTCGTATATGATATTATATATAATAATATGTATATATAATTGACATAAATTGCCGACGAACAGAGTTTACACTTGGTAGTTTTACAAATTTACTATAAACGCGAACGCATATAACGAGTTTTTCTACAATTTATATTTTATACATGCCTTTTGTACGATATAGTCGTATAGATAATAATATTATGTTGGCGCGATAAATTTAAAATTTTCAAGGTACGCCCGACCCTATATTATACCGATCAATACTGCATTTATCGTACAGGCTGTTTACATTTTCCTGCAATTACATATTATTATATTTATTAATATATTATTTTAATTGTGTACATGGGCCGTATCAAAAAGCGGAATATTATTTTACGATATATTATGCTGCTAACGAGACGTTAATAAAATATATTCTATAAAACGTATGCATTTATATACATTTAAAAAAAAAAGAAATTGTGGCCAACGCATTCATTGAACGAAACTACTTTTAGTAACTGCCAAGCTGCAGTATTAGGTAATACGAAATATTTTATAATATTATATTGCAGACTGAATAAATGAGCGCTGCAAAGCTATTATAATATTATATAAAAAAGCGTATATAGGTCGGGTGAGTGTGCAGGGAGGGTTTTAATTTGCCTACCTACCTTTAATCATCGTTTTCCGTTATATTGATGCGGACCCTTCGGTTTGGCAGCCCGGAAAATTGTAAGACTCGAGAGGAATCTTCGAGTTTATGGGTGACACGTGACAGATTACGGAGATTGTCCGGTGCTGCAGTTGACAACGTCATATGGAGGAGTGCAGTGTATACGTTAAAACATTTGGCCGACTTCCGGTTCTGGGCGTTCTTCGACGGATGTCGTGCGATTACACGGACTTCAGCGAAAGATTTGAATAGGTATCCAAGAGGCGAGCCGCGAGCGATAAGATAATATTATCGGACTAGGCGACTGGGTCAACCAATGGATTACCCCGTTACCGGAAGTATAATAATATGTAGCTGCTGCGTTCCGATAGGTCGACTGCAAATCACGTAATATCTACGAATTGTGCTTACCTACAAAATTATACAAATAATCAGTATAATATAATACATAATAGAAGAGGTCGGTAAATCAGAATATTATTATTACGTAGACAGGGTATAACCTTGTTTCAAAAAAAAAAAAATATTTAATAAAACGGAAAAATTATTATCCGGATGTCATACGTTGAAACATTGCACGGTTTACATTTTCGACTTTTTTTGGTTACCATTGTTTACTGTATAGATAACGAACGTTTTTGGAGTGTGAAACGATGTTATAATATTATATTATGGGCAGTAGACGGATGTTATATTAATTCACTATAGAATGTGAACTAAACTCGAATGGTACAGGTGTCTTTTTTAATTAAAATATACAGGAATCCTACAGGTTGATAGGGAAACCCCCTAGGGTCCTAGGTAAGCTTTTTGTGATTTACAATCAGACCAATATACAGAGTGTAACAGGAAGACATGACAAATGAAATAACTTTTGTTCTAATCAACATGTTTTTTAATTTTTTTTAAAAAAAAATTATTAACTCGTACGTTACACGTATAATAATACAATATTATTGTACGTTACACGTATAATAATACAATATTATTTTTTATTTTTTAATGCTGAAAATAAAAAATTTAAATCTTATTAAATTTTTTTTGTTGAAAATTTCAATTGATTTAATGAAAAAAAGGTGGGCAAGTGGGTGTCGCTCTGCTGTACAGTAGGTTTGCAAGTGGGTCACTGTATAATGGATGGTATTAAATTTGAATTCAATGATCTAATATCATTGTATAAGAAAAACGATTCTGAGCGGTGACGGTATGTCAGTCTAGTATTAGACATATTATATACATATCTATGCTATTAAACAAAAAATTGACCTATAATAGGTACCTATAATAAATTCCAAATTAATCATATCACAATATCCATTAGATACTTATAACGCGTTATACATCAACAAAAACCGTGATACTAGCATAGATATATAATAGTACACTTTAGAAGTTTCAAGTACCCACGAATAATATTATTCAATCACAACAAAATAACTAAAATAGTTATTCTAGGTTTTTTAATATGTAATTTCGTCCAAATTTGAAATTAAAATGTCTGTAAAAAATAAGTGTGTTTATATAGTTTTTAGATTTTTTGGTTACAGTATGAATTATTTAAGAGAATCTTTGTTTTAAATTTTCAACTCTTAGTTATAAAAACTGAACATTTTATAATTATTTAATTCCAACGATTGATTATTTTCGAGATTTTCATAAATTTTGTCAAAATTCCAACTTTAAATGCTTATAAAAAAAAATCGTGCTTATGTATTTTTAAAATTTTTCAACTGATATTGTAACAATATATAAGAAAGCTTGTATTACATTTTCAGACTTTTTGGCCCACCAAATAAAATTTTATTGACAATTATAAAAAAAAAAACTAAAAAAATTGAAAACTGAAAATGTCCATAAACAGCTCAAAAAGAGTCAAAATATTTTCAAAATTGTATGGTGTATAGAAAATGCTAATTTAAACATTCAGTGAAATTTTCATGTATCTACAGTTGTTCGTTTTTGAATTACAACAAAATAAGGAAATCGCTACATGAGAAATCGAGTGAATATCCAATGTTGTAAACATTTTAATTTCAAACGCTCATAAAAATTTAACTTGACTGTCCGGTAGAGATTTTTTTATTGATAAAGGTAGATAATCTTATAAGGAATCTTGTGTTTCATTTTCAAATCTTAGATTTAAAAAGAAAAATTTTTACGAATTCTTAACTCAAAATAATTTGCTAATTTTCGTGATTTTTCCATATTTTGTAAATTTTTGAACTTTAAATGCTTATAAAAAAAATTGTGACTAAGGATTTTTAATATTTTTCATCTGCCTTTGAAACAACATATTAGGAGCCTTCTATTAAATTTTCAAGCTTTCGCAACCAACAAATAAAATTTTATTGATATTTCTAGAAAAAAAACTAAAAAAAAATGAAAAATGAAAATGTCCCTAAACAGTTCAAAATAAATCAAAATATTTTGAAAATGTTATCGTGTATAGAAAATGCAAATATAAACAACCAGTGAAAATTTTCTGATAGGAAAGTGAATCTAGTTGGTACTTTGGGGGGTCAAAAGTAAACATTTTCCAGTAGTTTTCACAAGCGCCGGGAAAAACAACATAAAAATTAAGGAAAAACGGGAATTTTTACGCAAAATCGATTTTCCAAAAAATCGAATTTGGTTTTTGGTGTAACTTTAAAACAAATGACCGTAGATACATGAAATTTTCACTGGTTGTTTATATTTGCATTTTCTATACACGATAACATTTTCAAAATATTTTGATTTATTTTGAATAATATGAACTAATTACATATTATTATAATTCAATTTATTAATGTAATTTGCTCCAATGTTGTTATTTTATAAAATAAATTAAAAATCCATATTGTGATTTTCCAATGGGTCTATGATTTTGAATAATTTATTACCAATTATACCATAAAAAGTCAATAATACCATACCTGGTAAAATTAGAAATTATATTTACCTATAAACTTGTAATACCTAAATGTTTTTTTTTGATGAAGATTGTACGTTTTGCGCTTTTCAACGATACTATAATATTATAATATCTGAAATGGACCAGTCTGCGGGTACCTTTGATTATACAATGTGAGTTATTGCTATACATTTACTTATTTTCTCGTCTTGGAGCCTATGTTAAATTATTGTCAACCGCCGATAATATGGCAACCACTGAACCACCTGTACGCTTATTGTAGGCGTGTAATTACCACACCGAAAAATGATCTATAAACCGGAAAGAAAAAATCTGTAACAACACTTCGGCCTTTCAATAATGTTACCATTTTAGTTTTGCTATTCTAAAAATGAAAAACTCAGTTTCTCTTGCAGGCTTTACATTGCAATTATAGAGCTTTATTATTTTTCGACCAAATCTATCTAAACGGATACCAAATTAATTAATATCGAAACAGTTGTCAATTCAATGTGCAATTGGATCTACAAATCTGCCGTATACCATCCACGCAATCACAACAAATATAGCAATGGTCCGTTAAATACCGTAAAAACCATAACAACTGAGATCACCTATATAAACTATAGGGATTTCGGTGTTTGAAGTCAACTGAGAGGACCGCGACCATGTGGTTTGTCTGAAAACATAATATATTACGTCATATGAAAATACGACGAAATTTGGCAAATCAGTAAACAGTCCGTGTGTCGTGTGTGGTAATTTTTTCTCATTCAAATTTTCAAATAAATATTACAATATTACAATATATTATAGGCGTTACGTACGCGTTTATCGTTTTTTACCCATTCAAAACACTTTTATTAAATGTTTACATAATATTATATTACAATATGAAGGTTTTTTACCGTTTTTTACCATACAGCCGCTCTATTCCTAAAAAAAAAAAAACCGTCCGTAATAGAAACATTTAGCTAGGTATTTTAATAATAGTCGTGTATAATAGGACCCATATAGTAATACATTAGCACCCATTCACAAGTCGTTACGCGACCCAGGGTCACTCGATTTTGAGAACCGTATTAAAAATATAATTACCCGGCGAAATAAACATCGGTAAAAATGTATATACGTATAAATTTACTTTTACCCGTAATGAATTCGTCGGGCAAATTGGCCGAGCGCTCACTACTGCATCTCCAATCAAATAAATTATTTATTTATAATAACATACCTACTTAATATATTAATATTATCATAAGTATAATAATGCCCAGTGCGTGTGCATATTATATATAATTAACGAGATATAATCACCGTGCGTTCGCGACTGCCGAAGTCGCGTTATAAAATTATACGCATAATATATGTATATTGTATATATATTATACATCCATTTTATATCCAGTAACCTACCTAAAGGATATAATAATATTGTGTTGTATTGAGTAATTTACTCGAAAACCATTCAAATTCCAAATCCTTGCCCCAATTTATGCCGAGTGCATATTATCAGGTACCTACCTACTATAATATGCATGAAATCCGTAATGAATAATAATAAATTGTATTAGTACATAATATTATTATAGGTACGTACAAATATAAATACGAAAAATGGTTTTAATTATACTATTTATATCTACGAAATATATCTAAACAATTTGTGTGCGTATCTGCGCGTGTTTACCCGAACGTGTGTGTGTGTGTGTGAGTGTAATTATCATGTCTTGGGAAACATTTGGCCGACTGTCTCACGAATTTTTTTTTCTTTCCACAACAACACTCTTCTATACACCTATTAAATTCGACCCTGCGCCGTGGCAATGAACACTGAACATAATATGTAATATTATAATATTATAATATATATTATTTTATATAACTGGAGGAAAAAAAACAATTTGAACAATATGTTTGTGTTTTTGCTAGAGAATGTGTGCGTGCCATACACCTATATATGTATTATAATGTTATAATATCCTATAATAGGCGCGAGTACATAAGAACCGGATAAATACATTATATTCATAACACAATATTATTGTAATATATAGTAGGTATACATATATAGGTATATATATATAGGTACGGGCTAATTACAAGTTTATGTTATTATCATTTTATTTATGCATATTATTATTGTCTATGTGTGTGCTGCATTATTTCATAATATTATTATTTTTTTTTCTGCTAAAAATTACTAAAACGTGTATGTATAGGCGGCATAGGTATATTACAAACGCTGCACTCGGAATTAAATGTTTGAGAAGGTAAACAAATACAATCACAACGCAGGTATATAACACAATCTGCTCGTCGCACACCCATTATTATGGTTACCCAAGACCCGACCATATAATAGTAATGATATGCGATAATATTGTATACTT